TTTTTGACATCTACCTTAGTCTTAGAAAGTGGAATTTTTAGCAAACACAATAAATAATAGCGTTTACAGTTCACAGTTAAAATTTGTGTCTAGAATTATCTGTGTTTGAATGTTAAAATGACGACTCGTCAATTGAAGATACTCTGTGATATATAGAAAAGACATATATAGAAAAAGTGAGTAAAATTCCTAGTTTGAAGTATTTTTAAAGAAATGATGTGATTTTCGTACATTTCTAGTACTTCTGAAGACTATTTACATATATTCAAGACTAAAATCAAATGGCTCACTTACTCCTTTAAGATGATTTTTCTAATATATTAGTTCGTGTGCTGTATTTGTACTTCAAGAACTTTATAAACTATAATTTCTTTATTAAAACTTTCCTTATTAAAACCTTTAGAGCAGATAGTTTTTTAATGTAACTGTTTTTTTACTAGTCGTGTTGTGTTTTTTAGCTGTTTTTTTTTCATTGTTTGAAAAGTGGCTGAATGTAAAAACCCTTGATGGTATTCTACAAGTTTTGTATGTTTTTGTTACTTTAGGTGTAGGTTGTGCTTAATATCTTTGAGTAAAATGGCTAGACCGGTTTTTTCCAAGAGTTTTCGTGGTCTTGTTCGTGAAATACATAATTCGTCATGCCAACACGTAGAGAAAGATGCCTCTACCTTTTGTATAAGTTTCAACGTGAAAAAACCAAGTGTTAAGTCACAATCGATAGAATAATTAGTAAACGGTTACATAGATATTTCAACTCTCACATTGAAAATAAACTGGTCTATCCCTTTAAACGTTGTATGTCTCCTTCTTCCATATTGTTTGGTGTTTGTGTTATATACTCCTTACTTCTAAATGTTCTTCAAGTCTTACGTAATTTCTTTAACTAATTTATGTAAAATGCAGAAAAAAATGACTTACCTTGTAATTCCTCAAACTGATTTTCGACCGACTGTTGTAAACAGATATCAGATTTTCCGTCCCCAGCACAGACTTGACGCTGTTTTAAAACTGGACAATGTTTTCCGCCATTTTCAGGATGAACTTTGACCTTTCGTATACGTTTTTTACTGCCGTATCCACATGGATTATCACATTCAGACCAATCACCCCAGTCTCCAACTTGACAGTCCACGGCTGGAATAGACAAATTTTCAAATATAAAATCAAAATGAGGGGATGGTTATTGTTAAAGGGAAAGATGCGCCATCATACTTTAGTCTCATAATCTGGAATTTTATAGCTAAGCCAATCAGTAATAGTGTTCACAGCTCACTGATGAAATTTGGGCCTTCAAATCCATGTGTGTCGAGAATTATCCGAGATTGAATGTTAAAAAGATCTTTCATCATTTTAAGATACTCTGTGATATATAGAAATAGTGAGTTAAATTCCTAGTTTGATATATTTTTGAAGGAATTAGATACAACAACAGCTTGAGCTAAAAAAAAAGGCATCCTTAAAAAAAGTCCAATGCAAAACAATAGATCTTATATTCCTAATTATTTCAAAAGAACTATCACAAACTGATCAATATTATGTCTACTGCTTTCAGCCAGGTGTTGTTCATTTTCAAATTGCTATAACACATTGTTTGACCATCTT